TAAATGTTTGTGCACGAACGGGACCAAAATCAACTATACATCTCCATAAAGATGAAGAAATTTCCTTTTTAAAATGCTAGAAATCGTAAAGATCGTATGCACAGTTTTTTTATAATCATTTTTTCAATTTTATTTAATAAATAAATTATGTCATAGCGCCAGAAGCGGAGTAAAATCAAAGTAGATGGAGTTGTTTGATCTGTATTTTTTGTGAGAGGCGGTGTCCAACAAAAACTCTTATCAGTGTTACAAACCTTTTCTAATTGAAAATGTTGTAAACAAAGAAGATTTTATGACACGCGTATCATCGAGGCAGGGGAGGAGGTGATTATCCGCTATGAAAAAGTCAATGATATTATTGATACGAGTCGGAACCGAGGGATCTACCACACGAAGTATAGGGGTGACTGAGCTGCTAGTCAGCCAGTTTATAAGTCTGGTACCACTACGACAGGCAGCAGAATTATTCCACAAGGGGTGCTTGTTATTGAAGCCACCTCCTATAAGAAAAAGGTTAGGGGACAAGATCTTTTAGGTTAATAACGTTAGCAATGGAGACTGTGTGGTAGATGCAAAAGATCTAAAGATCAGGGTGGTTGGAGAGAATGCCAGCCGCCTTACGGTTTGGAGGTCAGCGACGGTCCTGGGCTGTTTCAGTAAGGGGGTGGGAGACGTCGTTCCATCATCAGGGCAAACCTGTCACGGGTGCGAGTCTCCGTCTGCATCTTCCATTATTGCGAAGGAAAAGTGATAAACTCAAGGGAATTAAAATAGTTTCATAGGTACGAATAATTTTGAAAGGAAAGAATAAGGAAAAGAGAAAAATAATAAAAACGTGGAAAATTAGATAAAAGTGCGCAAGATAAAGATATATTGTAACAGTAAAAAAGCAACTCTGATTAATATTGAGCTGAATGCAGCCCTGTGAGCCAGCATGAAAGGTGAATGACAGTTGATACGAAGCAGGGGAGACAGAAAGAACGGAAATGACACACAAATGTGAAACACGCTAGTTGCGCGTAAAATAATATAAATAAATGAATAATGAAGTAATTGTAACGAATAGAATAGAATTATTTGTCAATAAAATATTTTCGGTATTTACATAACCGATTACATGTTTTCACATTTCTTTCCGTTAAAATAACATTCATTTATGTATGACGCCGGGAAAAACTCGGGAAAAGACAAAGTGAGTAAATTAAAGATGAGTCGCAGAAATAATAAATCGCCATGTGAGACTCCAGTGTCGTCAAGATGTCAAGAGCAGACATCAATGCAAGATGTGTTAAAAGCCATACAAGCTCTACAACAAACAGTGAATGAAGTTCGAGCTGAAACAGTTTCGAATCGGGAAGACATAAGTAATTTGCGTGGACAACTTGCCAACGATAAGTCGGTAACGCACGAAAAGAGAGATGAAATAGGTAAGATCGATCAAGATGAAGACGAACGGTGCACTCCTGAAGTCGTATGTTCAGGAGGCGAAGGCATCCGACTTTATGATTTGCCAAAATTCAACGGTAACGCCGAACAGTGGCCACTTTTTCGTGTTAGTTTTGAGGACACCACCTAAATGTTTAAGTATACCAACAGACATAATTTAATGCGCCTACAGAAATGCCTAATGGATGAAGCCAAGGATGTCGTTCAGTCACTGTTAATATACCCATCAAATGTGCCTGCAGTTATGGAAGAACTTGAATTTCGTTTTGGCCGCCCAGATTTACAAGATTCAACAGTTCGAGAGAGTGACGGAGAGGAACGTTGATAGTTTAATTGCCTTATTCTCTCTTGTGCGAAATGTTGTGGCCTTTTTGTCATCCGGCAAGTGTGAGCAACACTTGAACAACCCAATATTATTAGAACAACTAGTGTATAAGCTGTCGCCTAGTAAACAAATCGAGTGGGAGCGTCACGCTGTAACTCTGAAAGAATATCCCACAATAAAACAATTTAGTGTTTGGTTGAGTGAGATTGTGAAAATAATTTGCCTTTTGCCACAGCCATTGTGTCAATCAAAAACCGAAAAGCCTAAAATTACAATGCCAGCTACTCAAAATTATACGCGCCGAGTTATGTATGCACAAGGGTTCGTGTTCTTGTCTGAACTGGATATGGTCATGCGTAACACAGTATGTAAATACCTTAAGCCTATGCCATATCAAGACCATGATGCGTGATATTTTATCACATCCTTCTCGAGGTGAACCTGTTTTTCATGTTGGCTATCATGTCGGCATAACAGAACATCATGGATCTAGAGAGGAAAACTCGATAAAACCCGTAATCTCCGGTGTTATTCGACCCGTGTCGATAGATGAATAGCACTACGTCAGTGTGTTTTTAAACGGAGACCTCCGGATAACTGGCGCCATCCGGTTGTAATTTAGCCTTATACGGGTATTGCGGATCTCTGCCTGGATGGACCTTCCCTTCTCCGCAACTAGTGGGTTTAAATATGAATGAACCAATAACTAATAAAACTAAAAATTCTATAGCGGAGAGCTCGGCTAAACAGAGCTCCAAATCTTCGGACACTAAGTGTCCAAATAAGGTACCTACCGCGACTTCTAGTGGTAATAAAAAGGTGCCTCCAAGTAATAAACAAAACGCATCCACGCGCTCCAGACCACTAATTCGGTCGGGCCCTCCAGGGAGGAGGAGTTACAAGGAACGCCGAGCGGCGACTAGACTGCTCGAAAGATACGGTAATATTTCGGTTACATCCGAATCTATGAAGGCCAGGATTGCCTGGGCTAAGCAGGTCCTCGATACCTCGAAGGATTAGCAGGAACCTGCTACGAAGCGACAGCGCTCATTAGATGAGTCAGCTTCAAAACCTGATGCCAAAAAGGCAAAATTTCGTGGCAACGCCACAAATGCAAAATCCTTTAGCGACATGCTGAAGGGTTCTTTAATAATGGGAGTCATTGATGAAAATGACCCGGATGGCACAATTACACCTGCTAAGTGGGACTTAATTGAGCTCAAGCTCCTTGACATTTGTGTCAATCTACTGAAGGACTTTCCTGGAGACTGTCCCACTTGTCGCGATAGTGGATGGCATCAGGGCCATGTGAAACTTATCGCCTGCGCAGATCAGCGTTCTGTTGATCTTTTTCGCAAAGCCATTTCCAGACTTGATGAGGCATGGCCAGGCGCCAAACTCAAGGTTGTTACTAAGGAGCAAATCCCTAGTCGACCAAGAGCGCTTTCCTGGATACCAGCCCATCAGTCCGCTCTTCAGCGGATTCAGGAACTTATTCAGTTAGGAAACCGACAGTTAAACACATTAACGTGGAAGATTACTAAGCTGGAGGAAGTCAAGGGTAAATATAGGTCGGTCAGTTTTGTGATTGACAAAGCATCCTTGGCCACTTTGGCGAAATCAAATGGTGTTATTAACTACGGTTTCTCAGCCATCACAATGAGGGTATATAAAAAGGACGAGAAGCAATCCTTACCTAATGATACGGATCCAGCAGCACCGCAAGGCACTGTTGATACCATAATGGAAGCGGGCGATATAGTACCTGCTACCGCAAACTCAGTGGGCCCAGTAGAAATATTGCCTGCCACTTCTGATTCAATAAATATGGACGTGACTATGTCCTCTCCAGCTCCTTCAATTACATCTGAAGAGAGTATTGGTACGCGCTATCTTTTTGACGAAGAAGAACTTTTGAACTCTGAAAATGAATCTGAAGAAGATAGCGCGCTTGACGTAACAGTGGTGGACACTACCACATCCAAAACAAATCATGATGCGGGTACTACAAATTAACCTGCACCACTGCAAGGCTGCGTCCGCCAGCTTGTTGCAATGCCTCAGCAACAACGAGGCTGATATGGTCCTGGTGCAAGAGCCATGGGTTTTCAAGGATCTTGTATGCGGACTCAGGACTAAAAACTTTGACTTAATGTATGCGGTAAACAAGGGTAAGCCTAGATCCTGCATATTAATAAACAAAATATATAACGCTTTCATGCTTTCGCAGTATAGTGACAAAGACCTAACCGCAGTAAGTATTGAGGGACCTTGGGGCCAGATATGGGCGGTATCTGCATATATGGCTCATGATCACGAAGAATTGCCATCAAGTAGCCTAAAACAGCTGACAATTGACGCTAGGAGACTTGGTGCAGATATCATTTTGGGTTGCGACGCAAATGCTCACCATGAAATATGGGGCAGCTCAAACACGAATGAACGTGGTGAGTTACTTTTCGATTTTATTTTTAGTAATAATCTCTTTATATGTAATGACGGTAATAGGCCGACTTTTGTTACCAAAAACAGGCAGGAAGTTCTAGACATTACCGTGACTACTGCCACAATTCATGGGTCTATCAGAAAATGGAAAGTGTCCACTAGACACTCTTTTTCACTAGAATGCAGGAGACTTTTTAATAGGGCAAAGCTAAATAGAAATGAAAATGACTGGTCTGAACACAAGATCTCTCTGCAGAATTAAAAGAAAGAACTACGTAAGTCTAAGAGGACTAGTTGGCAATCATATCGTCAAGAGATTAGTAGGGACTCTGAAACCTCTAGACTACGCAAAATCCTATCTAAAAATCCATCTGTCCCTGAGTTGCTAAGAAAACCGGATGGGACTTGGTCAAATAACAGTAGGGAGTCACTAGATTTATTACTAGATACCCACTTTCCTGGATCCTTTGCTTCGGCGGAATCCTCAGAATGTTTAAACTACGCACCGGTAAACTCTATCAAGTTAAACCTACAAACTCTAAAATGGGCCGTTTTTAGCTTTAAGTCATACAAATCGTCAGGACCGGATGGTATTCATCCTATTGAGCTGCAAAACTCTTGGGATCAAATACAAAACTGGCTTCTGACCATTTTTAAATATTGTCTCATTTTTAATTATGTTCCAACTCAATGGAGAAAGGTTAGAGTTGTTTTTATTCCTAAGGCGGGTAAAACCTCTCATATTAACCCTAATGAACTCCGTCCAATTAGTCTTTCATCTTTCATGCTGAAAGCTTTAGAAAGAATTTTAGACTTTGAAATAAGGCGCGTTATAGATCCCAATCTTTGGTCACCGACACAACACGCCTACACTAAGGGTAAATCCACAGAGACAGCACTCCATGCCCTCACCTGTACTATTGAAAAAACTCTTAAAGTAAAGGAATTTTGTATAGTGGCTTTCGTAGATATTGAAGGAGCTTTTAACAATATTCTTCCCAGTGCAATAGCTAGCGCACTCTCGCGTCTGGGTGTTGAAGATGCGCTTATCAGCTTTATCGGTCAGTTACTAACTGGCAGAATTATTGAAGCACAAATGGGTGTATCAGCAACACACAGACGGGTCAATAGAGGTACCCCCCAAGGGGCTAGTGACTACGGGCACGGCTCGATTCTAAATATTTTCAGTCCTACTCCAAATAACATTGATTAACCTCTCCGATTCTTGACTTTGATAGAAAATTTATCGTTAGATTCCCATCCAGGGAAGCTTGGTTATTAGGAGGTCCCTCCCTGAGTGAGGGTCTGCAAATTTTTACTGATGGTTCAAAGACTGGGAGCGGCGTAGGCAGTGGAGTTTTCTCAGAGGGGCTCAATATATCCTCCTTCTATAGGCTTCCGGATCACTGTAGTGTTTTTCAGGCAGAAGTAATTGCCATTAAGGAAGCTTTAGCTTGTCTAGAAGTAGGTAATATACTTGAAAGGAATATATATATACTATCGGATAGTCAAGCTGCTTTAAAGTCCTTGAGTTCTGTCCAATTCACATCTAGGACGGTCCTTGACTGCTACACATCTCTAAATGAGATGTCGACGCAGTTCAATATTTCTCTAATCTGGGTTCCCGGTCATAGGGATATTTACGGCAATTGTAAAGCAGACGAGTTAGCCAGACGTGGTGCTTCAGGGAACCACTCGGAACACCTAAACAATCTGGGCATATCCTTGACTTCATGCAAATTGATTTTAAGTTCTTCCTGTGCCGAACTTTTTAACAAAAGATGGGAAGACTCTGCGATATGCAGGCATCTGTATGCAATGTGGCCACAGACCAACAATAGAAAATCGAAATCTCTCTTAGAGTTTTCCCGTAGAGATATCAGTCTTGTAGTAGGTTTACTAACAGGTCATTGTATTCTAGGTAATCATGCTAGGAGATTGAATCTACCGTTCAACCATTTTTGCCGCAGTTGTGATGAGGATGACGAAAGTGCCTCTCACCTGCTTTCTTCGTGTCCGGCACATGCACGGCGTCGCCTTAAATTTTTGGGGGCTTTCTTTTTTGAGGATCTTGATGAACTTCAAGACCTCCCACTATGTAGCATCGTAAGCTTTATTAAAGGTTCTGGATGGTTTTAGCCCATGGGTTCTAAATAATACGGTATCACAATGGACCTATGGGCCTTAGTGGATCCCCCTGGGATCGCCGCTTTAACCTAACCTATGTATGTACAAAACCATGAGATGGAACAAGAAAATCACCTAGAAGTTAAGTGTTTTGAAAGTGCAGGCCAACAGCAGCTTCGTTTGTGTTTTTCATGTTTGAGGAAAGGACACAATGTCATACAGTGCCGAATGAAAAGATCCTGCGGTATAAACGGTTGCCGTAAAAATCATAATAGATTGCTAGCTACATGAGTCCCAACAAGTGCCGCCTACGTCTGGATCAGTTCAACAGGTTTTGAGTTGTGCCAAGCCATATTCCGGTTTTCTTTTTAAATTGGTTCCGATAAAAATTATGGGTCCAAAGGAACAACTGAAGATTTTCGTACTTGTGGATGAAGGGTCGTCAACCACTATATTAGATGCCAAAATTGCAAGTCAGTTAGGCCTTAAAGGCAAGAAATAACACTTAACGATGCAGTGGTATGATGAAGAGAAGGTGACTCAAAACTGAAGAGTGGTAAATGTCCACATAAAGGATGAAGCTGGCGAACAATATGAGATTAAAAACGTTTACGTAATTTCCAATCTAAGACTGCCAACACAATCGTTTAAAAAATCAGATTATGGACACCTTGATTGTTTGCCGATTGAAGACTATGACGATGTTCGCCCTTTAATGCTGCTGGGCCTAAATTGTACCAACATAAATGCATCTTCTGCATCAGTGACCGCCGGTGCATCTAGTCCAGTGGCTATTCGAACTAAACTTGGATGGGTGGCGTATGGTCCAACCGGTTCAAGCATCACCTTCCATTCGCCAATGTTATTTGCCCGAGCAGAACCATCATTTAAATGTCTTGATCGTATTGTTGCCGAATATTTAATTGTGAAAATTTTGGAATTGAAAATTCAACACCGCCGGTGGAATCAACCGATGATTTGAAGCTCGTAAAATCTACAACACGCCGTATCAATGATCGTTATGAGGTTGGTCTTTTATGGCTTTGAACTTCGTAATTTTTCATCAAATTCGTTAACTCTACAGATTGTCATGAATGCAGGTGAAAGTGAATCTGCCGATTCAAACAGAGACCATCTGTTTGAATCGGCAGAGCCAAACTGAGAAAATCTTGGGAATGTATTGGAACGTAACAAATGATTCGTTTCAATTCTTAACAAAATTTCATCGCATAGCTAAAGAAGTTATCGAGGGTAAAAGGGTTCCAACAAAGCGAGAACTTTTAGGAATTGTGATGGCTATATTTGCGTCTTAGCGAATTTTTTACTTATTTCCAAAGTATTATTGCTGGAAAACCAGATTAAATTAGTGGTGGGACGAATTTGCCAGAATAGGCAATTTCTTTGTACCAAGATGCTACTCGCCGCATCTCAACATTGCCAAAGAGGTCCAAATCCATATATTTATGGATGCTAGTCAAGTTGCATTCGCTGCAGCAGTGTATTTGCGAATTAAACATGAATATGCAGTCGATGTAGTTTTTGTCTGTGGTAAGACTCGCACAGCGCCTAAGAAACTCCTATCCATGCCAAGGTTGGAACTGCAGGCTGCAGTCTTGGCTACTTGATTATCAAAGCTGGTGGTGGACAGACATGACATAAACATAAGCCGTATAGTATTTTGGACTGATTCCAAAACCGTTCTTTGTTGGGTAAATTCAAGAAATCGCCGATTCAAACCATTTTTTGGGCATCGTATAGCTGAAATATTGACCTCAACGAAAGAAGACCAATGGAGATGGGTGCCAACTAAGATGAACCCTTCTGACGCTGCAACAAGAGCCAAAGAGGTGCCTAAAATAAACAATGGCAACATTTGGTTAAAAGGGCCAACCTTTTAATGTCAAGAACAAAATAGCTGGCCAAATGCTACATTTTCGTTTTATATTGACACGCCAGAAGAAGAGATTACGACACCGATATTACTACAATATCAGGCCAGTGAAACATTGATAAAATTTAACCGTTTCAGTTCTTTTTTTAGACTTAAACGTTCTGTTGCCTGGTTCCTAAGAGCTGTTCAAATATTCCGTAGAAAACGAGATCCACTATTATAGAAGAGTGTAATAATTTGCAGTCGTTACTACCGTTATTACCAAGTGAAATCAATGAAGCCGAAAAATTTATAATGCAACTGATACAGGAGGATTGTTTTTCGGAGGAAAAGAGTCTACTTAAGCTTCAACAACCTCTTAACAAAAAATGCAAACTATACAAATTAACGCCATACGTAGACAACGAAGCAATTATTCGTGCCAGTGGTCGCCTGGACGAAGCCATATATCTGCCCTTTGAAGCTCGATGCCCTATTATATTGCCGAAACGCCATGTCGTCTCCGAACTAATAATGAAACACTATCATGTTGCCTACTGTCATATTCAACAATATTAATAATTATTTTAAATATATAAAGTTGGAAACTCTAGCCTGTAAGTAGTTTAAGTAAATATTGTATAATGTAAAAAAATAAAGTTAGTTGATTAAGATAACGCAAACAAAACAGTGGCGACGAGGATTATAAAAAAAAAAAAATTTACCTAAAATGGACGTAGCTGCTTTAAAGGAATTGCTTAAACAACAACAAGAGTCTACAAATAAAATGCTGGAGGATCAGCGAGCATTCTTCAAACAAATTTTATTACAACAGACTGCAGATGGACAGAGTGTTAATGTGCCTGCATTTCATGCTTTTAATAAGCAGTTGCGTAAGTGGGAGACATATCTGGAGCAACTACATCAACATTTTTCGGCTTATCCCGTAAAAAAGGAGAGATTCAAGTCATTTTTTCTGACCTGGGTAGTCACAGAAACATATGATATATTACGCAGCAATTTTAGTGGTAGTGAAATGAAAAGCAATACATTCGAAGACTTGACGCAATTCTTAACCGAAGTCTTTCAATCTAAAACACATGTAGTTGCTGCCAGACATGAGTTCCACAAAACAACAATGTCTACAAGCCAGACTTACAGAGAATGGATAACGGATTTACGAAAAATCGCTTGTGAGTGCAAATTTATTTGCAGTGCGCCAAAATGTGGACATGATTATACAGAAGAAATGATACGAGACAAAATGTTGTACACTCCACATGATGTTGTTCGTGTAAATGCACTGCAAAAATCTAATCCACCACTCTCTGAGGTGATGCTCATTGCTGAAGCTTTTGAAGCGACGGAGAAAACAATTAACAAAATTAAAGATAAAGTAATCAACGAAGGAGAAGTAAACGTTGTCAAAACTAAAGTAATGAATAAAACCAACAAATATAGCGAAAAGCAAAAAGCTCAACAAAAAATCATGCCAAAATCATGCTCTGGTTGTGGATCTTCACATAGGCGACAAAATTGTAAGATTAGAAAAGCTGTGTGTAATAAGTGTGGAAAAAAAGGGCATATTGCTTCTGTTTGTATGTCAGCTAATAATATTGTAAATAATTTAGAACAACAAAAAACAAGTGCACAAAATAATTTTATTTCACAAATAGATTCGGTTTTGAGTGTTAATAATTTACCGCATCAAGAAAATAAAAAAGTTTTTATTGACGTTTTAATAGATAATACTCAAATAAAATTGGATTCAGGAGCAACTGTTTCGGTGTTGACACTAGATGCTTATGAACAATTAAATAAACCAAAGTTGTGTCCATGTAGAAAAGAATTATTTGATTACGGCAAGAACCGAGTAAAGACACTTGGAGAGTTTAGTGCAGAACTAAAGTGTGGTGAAACAAAGAAAACAGCAACTTTAGTGGTAGTATGCATTCGTAATGGACATAATTTATTTGGCACTGACCTTTTTGAAAAATTTAGATTTGAAATTCGCCAAATTGCCTCTGTAAGCAATGATTCACAATTAACGGAATTATTAATGAGAAATAAAATTGTTTTTGAACCTGGTTTAGGTACAATTAAGCAGGTTAAAGCAAAAATACATTTAAAATTAGACGCCGTGCCTAAATTTTGTAAAAGTCGACCTATTCCATTCGCTCAAATAAATCAATTTAAAATAGAAGCGCAACGCTTGACTGATAGTGGTATTTGGAAACCAATAAAATTTAGTGAGTGGGCTTCGCCAATTGTATTGGTCACAAAACCAGATGGCTCTCTTCGCATTTGCGGCGATTTCAAAACAACAGTGAACAAACAAATCGATGTCGATCAATATCCATTACCAACGCGAGAAAGCTTACTTCATATTGTCCGATATGGAAAATATTTTTCTAAAATCGACCTGAAGGATGCCTTCCTGCAAATGGAGTTGGACGAAGAGGCAAAAAAGGTTTTAGTAGTCAATACACCACTAGGGCTTTTCCAATATCAGCGGCTTCCTTATGGAATTGCCAGCGCGCCTGCTATATTTCAAAAACATTTAGAGCAACTTATACTAGGTGTAGAAGGATGTGGTAATTATATTGATGATATAATCATCGCGGCTGAAACGGTGGACCTACATCGTCAACGCTTAGAAAAAATTTTGCCAATTTTGATTGAGAACGGTATTCGTTGCAAACAAAAAAATGTGAATTTTTAGTGGAAAAACTGGAATATTTAGGTAGAACAATTAGTGCAAATGGTATTTTACCTGATGAAAAAGGTGTTCAGGCTGTAAAAAAGTTGCCACGCCCAACAAACATTAAAGAAGTCGAAGCATTTCTGGGTAAAGTGAATTATTACCATAACTTTATTCCAAATTTTTCGCAATTGGCCGCGCCTATCAATCATTTACGTCGGAAGAACATCAAATTTGTTTGGGGCACTAAGCAGGAACAAGCATTTGAAGCTTTAAAACGACACATAATAGACGCAACCGAATTCTCACATTTTCAAGAACATCTACCATTAGTCTTAGCTACTGACGCCTCATCATATGGAATTGGAGCTGTCCTTGCTTATCGAAATCCAGACGGCACAGAGCGCCCTATTGCTTTCGCATCAAAAACGCTCAACATTCATCAAGTTCGATACAGCCAAATCGAAAAAGAGGCACTTTCGATAATATTTGGAGTTACTCGTTTCCATCAGTACTTATTTGGTCATAAGTTTATTCTGGTTACGGACCATAAACCTTTAGTAAGCATCTTCAGTCCAAACAAAAATTTGCCATCAATGTCTACACATCGGTTGCAACGTTAGGCAATAACATTGATGTCTTATCAGTTTGAGATACAGTTTCGTAGAACTGCCGATCACTCAAATGCCTATGCCTTATCACGCCTGCCTTGTGGACCAGATCCTGAGTTCGACAGGTTGGAGCATTGTTATCAAATAGAAAATTATGACACACTTATCAACGTCGGATCGCTACAACAGCACTACAAAGACGATTACATACTAAAACGTGTAAAAAATTTCATTTCGGAAGGGTGGCGGACAAAATTAGCCGATGGCGACATGCATTTGCTTCCTTATTTTCGTCGTGAGTATGCTCTTTTCATCCGAGATGATTTGATTTATTTACAGACAGATGCTACTCGAGTCATTGTACCTCAATCCTTGCATCAGTCAGTTTTAAAGCTTCTCCATGACGGCCATTGGGGCATCGTTAAGATGAAGCAACTCGCTAGGCAACACTGCTGGTGGCCTAATATTGACAACGACATCGAAAAACTTGCTTCACAATGCAGTGTTTGTCAAATTGCGGGTGCAAGTCCGAAACAAAAATACCATGAGTGGCAACGAGTACACATAGATTTTGCTGACCCAGTGTTCCAGTCTATGTGGCTAATAGTAGTTGACGCTTTCTCACAGTTTCCATTTGTGGTACAGCTTAAAACTATCACCACTATTGACACCATAGCAGCTTTGTCAGCAGTTTTTTTATTAGAAGGACTACCTGAAACTATAGTTAGTGACAATGGACCTCAGCTAACTTCCGACCAGTTCGCTGAATACTGTGCTCGTAATGGCATAAGTCATGTTAAAACAGCACCATTTCACCCAGCATCAAATGGGCTCGCGGAAAGGTTCGTACGTACATTCAAATCATCCGTTCAAAAGAATATTGATGATGGGTTATCGATTAAATTGGCTTTGATAAAGTATCTAGCGACATACCGAGCTATTCCTAATGCCGAAGGGAAGTCACCGGCAGAATTGTTACATGGGCGTGCGCCACGTACTTTGCTTACACTGTTATCAGCACCACCAAACAACAATAAACCCGTCACTCGTTCAACTAAATTTTCTCCTAACGAAACCGTGTATATTAAACATTATGGTCCAGGTCCGAAGTGGGTGGAAGCAGTCATTATTAAAAACTTAGGATGCATGGTTTATATTGTGAAAACGTCCAACGGTTACGTGAGACGTCATCAAAATCAAATAAAACATCATTCATCAACGTCAGCAGAAAACAACAGCAAATCTGATTAATATATGTTGCCAACACCTGTTAGTGAGCAGGAGGATAACAACAACACTAATCACACTAACCCTGAAGAGCGTTCTCAGATGACTGAACAGATACCACGTCGAAGCGCTCGTACTCGAGCTCAACCTAATCGTTATTAACCTATTTAAAACTTTTATATATCTTTAAACCTTATACATAGAACATATATTTCGAATATATTACAATTTTAAGGGGCGAGATGTCATATTCAACAATATTAATAATTATTTTAAATATATAAAGTTGGAAACTATAGCCTGTAAGTAGTTTAAGTAAATGTTGTATAATGTAAAAAAATAAAGTTAGTTGATTAAGATAACTCAAACAAAACACCTACAAACATCAAAATCAAGCTACAATTATCAACGCCGTACGCCAAAAGTTCTAGATAATTGGTGCCAAGCCACTTTTGAATTCAGTCCAACGCAATTGTATGGAATGCCTCCTTGAAACCGCCAGTACGTGCTGTGCATATAGACATCGTCGGTAGCTTGTCAACTGATGCGTTCCTAGTATGTTTCCGCAGTTTTATTAACCGTCGTGGTACGCCAGTCAGAATGTGTAGTGACAATGGCACCAACTTTATTGCGGCACAAAGGGAATTATGTGCTGATAAAAGGTTTCTTGATGTTAATGATATACGTGAGAAAGCCATTCAACTTGGAATTGAATGGATATTCAATTGTTCGCAGAATCCCAGTGCAGGTGGTTGCTGGGAACGCCTTATAAGAATGATCAAACGTCTATCATTCAAGTCAATCAGAGAAGAAGCACCGAAGGTGGAAACGTTAAGGGCAGCACTAATTGAAGCTGTAAATATCATTAACAGCCGACCGCTTACAGACATTCTTTTGATGCACAGCGAGCAGGAGCCACTCACACCAAATCATTTCTTGTTAGGCTGTGCCAATAGTACACAGACACGCTATAATGATGCCATACCTATCAGCCTCGGTAAACAGTGGCATATCCTCCAAGATATAAACAGCCGTTTGTGGAAACAGTGGACTACGGAGTTCTTGCCTCAACTTTTTCGACGCCCTAAATGGTGTAAGGAGGTGGTGCCCCTCAGGGTTGGGGATTTTGTGATCGTTTGTGACAATTTGCTACCAAGAGAAAAATGGCTCAAGGGTCGAATCGTTGAACTGTTTCCTTCCAAGACCGGTCAGGTTAGATCAGCCCGCATACAGACAAAGAATGGTATCCTAATTCGTCCAGCCACCAAGCTAGCCACTTGTCAGATTAGTGAATATTGCGAAGATTCACGGGAGGGCGGAATGTAACAGTAAAAAAGCAACTCTGAGTAATATTGAGCTGAATGCAGCCCTGTGAGGCAGCATGAAAGGTGAATGACAGTTGATACGAAGCAAGGGAGACAGAAAGAACGGAAATGACACACAAATGTGAAACACGCTAGTTGCGCGTAAAATAATATAAATAAATGAATAATGAAGTAATTGTAACGAATAGAATAGAATTATTTGTCAATAAAATATTTTCGGTATTTACTAGTGCTGTTCATATTCGAATTTACGAAGTATTCGAAGAATTCGAATATTCGAATAGTAAACGAAGTCTTCGAAGTTGGAAAAAACTTCGAAGTTTTTGTGAATTTTTGTTCTCGAAGTCTTCGAAGTTTAAGTGTAGTGAAAAACTTCGAAGACTTCGTAAGCAAAAGGTGAAGTGAGAGCGCATAATGCAAACAAACGTGCATCACACAAATTATTTGAGGGATGAAAGCATTTGCTTCGTTTGAACGGTTTTAGGTTTTTTTTTTGGTATTCTATGCAGAAAATTAAAAACATGTTTTTTTGTTTTATTTTATTACATAAAATTTATTTTATTATTAAATATGTTGTTAATGAATTAACACCTAAGGAAATGAATTGACAGCACTTAAACTGTAACTCTTTAATTGAAAGTTGAGTTTTCAGCACTTGAACTGAAACTCTGGAAATGAAAGTGAGAGATCGAATATTGATTTCAATCTGAATTTTTAAATTCAGAATTAAATTAAATTTTGCCTTAAATACTAAATTATTACAAATTATTACAATAACAATATCTAAATTTTATTATTTTCCTTTACCGTCTTCTTGCCCAAAGTGCAAGCTCAGCATATATTATGCAACCAAATTCTTTGTTGTGTCTAACAACCAAAAATTAATGCCAATGCACTGGCCTTGATATATGTTACATATTCAAAGTTCAGTGCCACTGCACTTAACAAAAAATATAATGCAAATATTCAAGTTCAGTGCCACTGCATTTTACCAAATTAAATAATGCAAAGGAAAGTCAAAGTTTGGATATTGCTAACATCAGCATATATGTTCAAATTTTACAAATATTGTACAATAATAACAATAATAATAATAATATTTTACAATAATAATTAAATGTGTGAACATGCTGCCCGCCTTGAATTGACAACATCAATTCTAATTATTGGAAGCTGCAAGTCAACATGCTGTATCCTCGGTCATCTGCTGATGTCGTGGCATCGGTATTGGAGGTGTTTGATAGGTGATTTTTTGCCTTCGCCATATATATAATAGTGCACTAGCGACACATAGAAACATTGCTATTGCAACGTAGCTGGTTATTAGACTATGTGTCCCTGGACTAATAGCATCAGTTGGAAAACTGGAACTCTGGATGTGGCCTAATTTTCGTTGAATAAGTTCAAGCTCATGGATTGTGGGTGACAATGGTTTGACGCTGATGTTATTGCTCGCATATTGTTTTGTCCATCCTACAGGTAGGTTCAATCTGGTGATCGATGCCTGCATTGAAGTAACCATTTTTTGATGACCTTGAATCGTAATGTGTTCATTTTTGATGATGCATTCAGGTTCTAATTTAATCAAACCACTGCCCACTAAAGTTAATTGAAATGCTTTCTTATTGCATACTGCATTCATTTTGATGTTACTTATGGTTGCGTAAATCCATTGATTCGGATGATTTAGTTGATACCACACAGTTGATACCATACAGTCCTTGAGCTGATACATATCGCATCTTGGTTCAGCTTGATTGTTAAATAAGTCAATTTCACAATTATTGACGTTTGACGATTCATGAATTGTTGCTTGTATGTTTGGACATAATAACTCTTCGTCACTTATCGATATGCATGCGTCCACTTGATGCTGTGTCATTAGTCGAAATTCATCATGATGCGGACTGATGGCTAGAAATTCTGTTGAAAGTTTCACTGATAAAAGTGTGTTATTTAGAGCTGCCACAATTGGAACAAGATATAACAGTTGAAATTCTCTTGGATCCGTGAGAGGTAAGTCGATGCAAAAAATGACATGGCCCTTTGCCAGGATTCCGTTGATCTTCATGAGCCTATATACTTCGAGTAAGTTATTGTGGTGGATAGGTAACTGTAGGTGTGATGGAAGATGTGCCCTAATCATCATTATTTGCTCACTAAGCTGTTGTGGAGTCAGCAGAAAAGGATTTATTTTATCGTGATGACTGTCGATTAGTACGTCCATAATTGATGAGTGAACTCTTTGCAGGTTGGATACCATCATGAGCATTTGCATTGACAACATAAGCATGTTTTGTGTTACGTGTATGTCGTTTATTGACTCATCTGTATACAACAAGTTATTGATGCGCTTTTCAATTTCTTCAAATTTGTCATGCATGTTTAATTGGTTCTTCTTAAAGATATTGATAGTTGAATCAACAAGTGAAGTTTGGTTTTTAACGAGTTGTTCCAGGT